TTTTTCTAAAATCCTCGTAAAGGAAAAATGTTGTTATGACGATGATACGATGATTGTGGTGGCGGTTAATAATAAATAAAATCATAATATCGTGTGATGATGATGATGGTAATGATCAGTGATGATGATGGCGATGTTTATATGAATGCAGCAGTAAATTTATAGAAAATGAATGAGTATGAATACACCTGTTAATATATGAGACAACCGACTTCCAGTTGTCTAACTTTTACGAGTACGTGGGAGATCGTGGGCTCAAGCCCCGGCCAGACCAAACACTCAAGGTCTCAAGTGGCTGGGATGACCACTTTACACGTTAGTCCGGTCGATATCTCTATCCAATATTGAAGGAAGATTATAGAACCACCAAAATMCCAACAGTGATCATTCTCCTTGCTTAATCCTTATGCTTACCACTCCTCACAAAATCATACCATATTGTAAAGCACCTTCTTTGTTAACATCCATGTGGAGTAAGTGYGCTATATAATTCATTAATAAATCACAAAATAAACTGCTTTTTTTGCTGTAGTAAATGGTGGTTGGAGTGACTTCAMTGACTGGTCAGAGTGTAGCAAATCCTGCGGTGGTGGGCGAAGAGAGAGAACTCGTACCTGCACGAACCCTGCGCCAGCATACGGTGGAAAGGATTGCGGAGCAGACAACAAGGAAACAGAAGAGTGTAACAGTCAGCCTTGTCCAGGTAAGCACAACCACCGCCCGGTTAGCTCATTTGATGAGAGCGTCAGACTGTTGCGTGGCGAGTGTCAGCCAGAACAACCCTCAGGCTAGGGTCTTAAAATAACTAAGAAGATGATACTTGCCTTACTGCCACTGAAGTCGCTAGTGATAACCATCTTGAGTAGTGCACGTGCTTACAGTGCAAGGGGCCCACAGTAATTTGTGAAAACTGTTGTGGGTGTTCCTGCCTTTACAGGAAAAAAAGCTAAAAAAAGAAATATCTTTCACATTTTAAGTGCAACATCTTGGTACAACTATAAAACWCACGGGATTTTGGTTTTTGGCAAAAGTAGCGTATTTCTTGTCATGTCTGTGAAGGGCTTTTTACAGTGGAAAAGTGTACAGTGGCGTTACGAGCGCAAACCTTAAACAAAGAAATGATACTCTAGGGAATGACATGTGGTTTGAAATGGGACAACATTACGTTAGAGCCGGGGAGGTCTATTATTGAGAATCTCGAGCTCCACCAGTATAATTAGAATATTTTAAAAAGCAAAAATATGACGGCTGGTATAACTGAAAGGAATATCAACTTTTTTACTCTTTTAATTTGTTAAATTGTGATTTTCTCTTTGCATAGTTGATGGTGGTTGGAGTGACTTCACTGACTGGTCAGAGTGTACCAAACCCTGCGGTGGTGGGACAAGAGAGAGAACTCGTTCCTGCACSAACCCTGCTCCAGCACACGGTGGGAAAGAATGCCATGGCGCAAACAAGGAAACCAAGCCATGCAACAGCAAGCCTTGTTCAGGTTAGTCTCTGGAACCAAACAACGACCTATATCAGGTATAACATATGGCACACAGTCACGCCATGGAAAGTACAAGAATCACAAATGCTATACTTCCAGCCCTGGTAGTAGGCAGCAATCTAGCTACGGAATACCGTGGAATACCATGGAGAAGGATGCTTGTGCAACTAATACCGCAGAGGTAGCTGCATGACTGCATGGCTCACCGTGAAGACTCTCTTGGGGTCCGGGCATGCAACTCGGGTGAAGCTTCCTCGATAATGGCAGGCTGYTCCTACCGCCAGGGCATAATTTTACAGTGAAATTGCCAGAAATAGTGAATACTGATGTTTTCCATTAGAACAAACGACTTAATAAGTGTAATATGATTAACTAGAAATTTCGACGAGTCCCAGGAGTTTTCCAAGTGTCAAAAATAAAAATTTCAAAGCATTTTCAAGTGTTCTGGAAGAAATTTTCGAAATTACAGGAGTTTAAAACCAGTAATACCAGGAGCATGTTCTATTATGATGATATATGATACTTCACAAACTCCGCTTTGTGGCTCTAGTATAATTTCTTATTCACTTCCCAAAAACTAATGAAAGCGGAAAGACTACGAATRGTGAGGGCGTTTCGCGGTTCACGAAGTCAAAGTGACAGCATAGAAAAACATGTGTAACTASACGTTATTTTGTACTTCAAGCATACAATTATGACATTCGTTACAGTTATGTTATCAAGGGGACCACYTAGAGAATATCTTTACAGCTATAACAAATCTCCTTTCTTTTGCTTCAGTTGATGGTGGTTGGAGTGAATATTCAGAATGGTCAGAATGTAGTGCTTCATGTGGCGGTGGAGCRAGAGAACGAACTCGTACCTGCACTAACCCTGCTCCAGGATACGGTGGGAAAGAATGTGAAGGAGACGCCAAGGAAACAGAAGCTTGTAACAGCGACGCTTGCCCAGGTGTGCACATGCAATACAGTACACTTTTG